GGACAGTTGAACCTGGAGGCTCCACCCCTGTTTAATGATGGACGGTTAAATGGTAAAAATGTCTTGTTATATTTTTGGGCACTTATTTGTAAAATTGTCTGGGACTCAGGTGTGAGGACACACACACCTGGCACAGACCCTTGTACACTAAACGTCAGATACTGTACATAAAAATGATCTCTGTCTTGAAACGTGCGCACGTTTCTACAGGTTCTGGTCCGTTGGGGGCCCTGCAGTGTCTGGACTATTGAAGTCAACAGGAGGACTCACCATGGGTGAAGGGTCACCATGGCAACAATTCTGGTAAATTATCGTTCAGTGATTCTGTTCTGAATGTTTTCGCACAGAATCAACAAACTAACATTTGTATCATCATAGTTCTGTCTGCTGCAGAAACATTTAATATAAAAACTATTTATCAAATTGTTCTTTATTCAAATATTCTGTGCTCATCTGAACTCAGTGTCTATGAATGCTGCTGATCTGTTTCATGTTGCTCATGATCTGTTTCATGTTGTTGCTGATCTGTTTCATGTTGCTCCTGATCTGTTTCATGTTGTTGCTGATCTGTTTCATGTTGCTGCTGATCTGTTTCATGTTGCTGCTGATCTGTTTCATGTTGCTGCTGATTTGTTTCATGTTGCTCCTGATCTGTTTCATGTTGCTCCTGATCTGTTTCATGTTGCTCCTGATCTGTTTCATGTTGCTGCTGATCTGTTTCATGTTACTGCTGATCTGTTTCATGTTGCTCCTGATCTGTTTCATGTTGTTGCTGATCTGTTTCATGTTGCTCCTGATCTGTTTCATGTTGCTCCTGATCTGTTTCATGTTGCTGCTGATTTGTTTCATGTTGCTCCTGATCCGTTTCTGCTGATCTGTTTCATGTTGCTCCTGATCTGTTTCATGTTGCTCCTGATCTGTTTCATGTTACTGCTGATCTGTTTCATGTTGCTCCTGATCTGTTTCATGTTACTGCTGATCTGTCTCATGTTGCTCCTGATCTGTTTCATGTTGCTCCTGATCTGTTTCATGTTACTGCTGATCTGTTTCATGTTGCTCCTGATCTGTTTCATGTTGCTGGTGATGTGTTTCATGTTGCTCCTGATCTGTTTAATGTTATTGCTGATTTGTTTCATGTTGCTTTTGATCTTTTTTATGTTGCTCCTGATCTGTTTCATGTTGCCGCTGATCTGTTTCATGTCGCTAATGATCTGTTTCATGTTACTGCTGATCTGTTTCATGTTGCTGCTGATCTGTTTCATGTTGCTGCTTATGTTTCATGTCGCTGCTGATCTGTTTCATGTTACTACTGATCTGTTTCATGTTGCTCCTGATCTGTTTCATGTTGCCGCTGATCTGTTTCATGTCGCTAATGATCTGTTTCATGTTGCTGCTTATCTGTTTCATGTTGCTCATGATCTGTTTCATGTTGCTCCTGATCTGTTTCATGTTGCTGCTGATCTGTTTCATGGTCTGTTTCATCTCTGTCTGTGAGGCTGACACATTGTCCAGTTTTAAAACTAGGCTTAAGACTTTCCTTTTTGCTAAATCCTATAGTTAGGGTCGGCTTAGGTTTCCTGAGCTGTCCCTTAGTTCTGCTGCTATAGGCTTAGACTGCTGGAGGACAAACTGACCACAATTTTCACTCTGCTACTGTCTTTACTTACTCTGCTCAACCTGTGTTGTATTTGTAATTATTTTTTCTATCCTTAACATGTTTTTGTCTTTCAGATACACCTGGACCTATATCTGGACCTGGACCTATACCTGGACCTGGACCTATATCTGGACCTGGACCTATACCTGGACCTATATCTGGACCTGGACCCATACCTGGACCTGGACCTATATCTGGACCTACCATTCTGTGTTTGTCTGTCTCTCCTTCCTGTCCTCTCAACCAGCCGGTCAAAGCAGATGGTCTCTTGTCCTGAGCTGGTTCTGCTGGAGGTTTCTTCCTGTTAAAGGGAGTTTTTCTTTCCACTGTCTCCACTGTGCTTGCTCAGGATGGGAGACTGCAACAAAGACAAGATTCAACTTGTCTGCTGGATTCATTAGATAGAGAACTTTACTAATTGTCTTTTATGTGAATGTTCCTGTAAAGTCCCTGAGACAACTTGGTTGTGATTTGGTGCTATAGAAATAAACTGAATTGAATTGTTGCTGCTGATCTGTTTCATGTTACTGCTGATCTGTTTCATGTTACTGCTGATCTGTTTCATGTTGCTGCTGATCTGTTTCATGTTGCTGTGTTCATTCGTGCTCATCTGCTCTCACAGACTCATGTTCATGTTCATGCTGCTGTTCAATGTAATGTTTTTTTGCTGGTAGTGTTTAGTGTATATTTAGTTGGTGTTTTTCTTATTCATATCTTAGATGTTATTACTGTTTTTCTTTTACATTTTATTGTTGGATGTAACTGGGACTCTGTGAACATAATTTCGCTCCACCACATACCATACCATTTTATTTATAGAGCACTTAAAACAGCTACAAGGCCAACCAAAGTGCTGTACAGACAGAACAACAGGTAACACACAAAGCAAAATACAAAATGAGGTAAATCAGAATATAGACATAAAAACGATGCAGATAATGACGACAAACCAGTGTGGAGCATACAGGATCAAACACAGATCATCTGGTGTTGAAAGCTACTGAATAGTAGTGAGTTTTTAAACGGGACTTGAAAACCGAGAGGGAGGGGGCCTGTCTGACAAGCAGAGGTAACTCGTTCCAAAGTCTTGGTCCTGCTACAGAGAAGGCCCTGTCACCTCTGCGCTTAAGACGAGTTCCTGGAACTGTGAGGAGCAACTGGTCCGTTGACCTCAGGGAGCGTGGTGGGACATACGGTTGTAGCAGATCAGAGGGATGGGGGGGCGAAACTGTTCAGAGATTTGTAGACATACAGGAGTATTTTGAACTGGATTCGAAAGTGAACCGGTAACCAGTGCAGTGAGGCCAAAACTGGTGTAATGTGCTCTCTTTTGCCTGTACTGGTTAAAAATGGGGCTGCTGCATTCTGGACCAGTTGTAGTCGTGCAATGGAGGTCTGACTGATACCAAACAGGAGTGAATTGCAGTAATCAAGCCTAGATGTAATGAATGCATGTATTACTGTCTCCAGGTTCTTTTTGGACAATATGGGCTTCAGTTTAGACAGCCGCCTCAGTTGGAAGAAGCATGATTTAACAATCATGTTTACATGTTGGGAGGGAACAACATGACTTCAGACTTCTTTTCATTGAAACTCAAGAAATTTAAAGCCATCCAGTCCCTGATGTCAGCCAGGCAGTTGAGCAGAGGTTGAATAGAGCATGTACCATTGTGTCTTAGGGGGAAGTACATTTGACAGTCATCGGCATAGAAGTGGAAGGGCATGTTGTGTTTCCGGAAAATAGCACCAAGCGGCAGCAGGTATAGAGAGAATAGGAGAGGACCCAGGATGGACCCCTGCGGAACCCCCCCATTTAAGCTCTGCCTCTGCGGAACTAAAATCCTTGATGGAGACACAAAAGGATCTGTCAGCGAGGTAGGATCTGAACCAATTGAGGGCTGATCCTGTGACGCCCACCCACTGCTCCAACCTAGCAATTTATGACGGAGTATTAGGGCCACGCTGTTAAGAAGCATTTTTTATGCAGAGAGCATCTTGAAACAGGACAGCAGATGTGTAACAATAAAAGTGCACAGGGCTGTGGTGTATTTTTTAAATCACCACAGGGTGGGTGTGTGTGTGTGTGTGTGTGTGTGTGTGTGTGTGTGTGTGTGTGTGTATTAAAACCTTATTATTAATGAAGCATTGCATGTCATGGGTACAGCAACTCTGATTTTAGTAGAATATAAAGTAATATTCTGTTGTAGTTTACACTGTACAGTGTTTAGTTACTGTAAAATTAAAAATAGTCGTTGTTAAATAATGTTTTGTGTTTTAGCTTCAGGAAAGCTTCCACCAGTTACACTGTATTTCTGCTGTGCAGCCTACTGGAAGTTCTGGGTGAGCTGGTGGTAAGTTCTTTGTACATTGTGCATCTGTGATAATTGGATCATCTTCTGATCGCCATGTTCTTGTTCTTGTCCCCCCCTCGGTCTTTTTCCTCAGTTGTCCATGCATGTGGAAAGACGACAAAGACATTTGGATACTGAAGACAGGAACGTGAGCAGCCAAGCGCTAAAGACACTGGAGATGACCAGCACTTTTCAATGGAAGAGCTGTTTTTCTTTTCAAGCAGTTCCTTCATTCGTGCACTAACAGTTGAACTGTAGGAATAAACCATTTGAGAAGAGATTGCACATTCAAAGAGCTGATCTTGATCAGTGTGATCCACCCTGGAGATGTGTTTGAAAGAAAATGTCACTTCTTTCTGCTCATACTCGTTTTTGTTTCGCAGATCGATGCTGAGTTCCTGCGAGTTACAACAGTTCCTCTGGAGGAAAAGTTTTCAGCACAGTTGGACAAACACTCCACCAAACTGCTCGAGGTCATCGGGAGCAGGGAGGATGTGAAAGAGCAGACCACCAGGACCTTACAAGTTTTAGATGAGGTGAGAAGACTCAGTGGGATTTATAGCTGAAGAGTTGTTTTGTACCGGTCTGTCGTGGTGAAGAGAGAGCTGAGTCAAAAGTGAAAGCTCTCAATTTACCGATCGATCTACGTTCCTACCCTCATCTATGGTCACGAGCTTTGGGTTGTGACCGAAAGAACGAGATCTCGGATACAAGCGGCCAAAATGAGTTTTCTCCGCAGGGTGTCTGGGCTCTCCCTTAGAGACAGGGTGAGAAGCTCGATCATCCGGGAGGGACTCAGAGTAGAGCCGCTGCTTCTCCACGTCGAGAGGAGCCAGTTGAGGTGGCTCGGGCATCTGGTTAGGATGCCTCCTGGACACTCAGGCATCTGGTTAGGATGCCTCCTGGACACTCAGGCATCTGGTTAGGATGCCTCCTGGACGCCTCCTTGGTGAGGTGTTCCAGACACGTCCCACAGGGAGGAGACCCAGAGGAAGACCCAGGACACGCTGGAGGGACTATGTTTCTCTGGCCTGGGAACGCCTCGGGATTCCCCCGGAGGAGCTGGGCCAAGTGGCTGGGGAGAGGAAAGTCTGGGCCTCCCTACTTAGGCTGCCCCCGCAACCCGACCCCAGAGAAGAGGAAGAGAATGGATGGATGGAGTTGTTTTGTGTAGATGTGTTAGATTTTAATTAAACATAATTGTTCTTACTCAGACTGACATCACCATCATGAGAGAAGCTTGTCCTTAAAGCTCTGATCATCTACCTGAACCTGTAGAGCATCTTCTGAAAGAACTCCAGGTAAGAAGATATGATGCACCAACACGAGCAGCATCCACACACCTGTTGTGTTTGAAATGCAACATTGATTTGTTTCTTCTTGTTATCAACTCTTTTTATTTCCATCTATTGAATTTGGGCTCAAAGTGAAGTAACTTCATGCCAGAGTGGGAGAAACAAATATATTTTGACGACTCTTTGATCTTCATGTAGCACCTACATTCATTTGAACTGAGAACTCTTCTTGTTGTAATCCAGCTGTTAATCTGTCCAGAGTTTCAGAAAGTAAAGAGACTGTCAGACTGTTGTGCTTCGGCAGTTCTCTGCCTCTTTGACTCTTTAGTTGTCCTCATTTCTTTATTTTTGGTGTGTTTGCAGGATGTGCAGGAGAATGACCAGCTGCATCTGGAAACCATGGAGATCTTTGTCACTGGGGGAGAGGATCCTCTCCATCATGAAGATAATCATGGATGGAGCACAGGTCCTGAATGAAGTGTCTTCTGTTGAACAGCTGTTTGTTCTTCAGGCTCATAGACTCAACCTAAAACATCCCATAATCTACAGGACACTCAGATTCATTCAGAAAGTCCTGATGGAGCTTGTTGGGAAAAGACGTCTCCAAAGGTTTACAGGCTGAGAAGCAGCTTTGCAGCTGTTGACTTCAACTCAACTCACTGGGTTTGATTTTCCACTGGTTCTTCTACAACCAACACAGTTATTGACCTTCATGAGGTTTGAGCTCAGAGATCCCAGTTGCACCACAGCCCTAAATGAGGTGAAAGGACAATTAGATATTTTTCCTCTAACAAAATCAGCTAATGTCTTCTTTTCAGAACGGTCAGTGGAAAATATAAATAATGGAGTTAATTATTTCTATATGAATTATGATCAGTAACTTTCAGTGGGAGAAGGTCCAGACCCTTGGACTGAAAAACAAAGTGCAGAACGAGTCCAGCTGCTCTCCAGTTTCCATCACAGTGACACTGGCAGACTCTAAACTTGGGACAGATGTTGAAAAGTTGAGTTATTTGTAACTTCATGGAGTAAGTTCTTTGACTTTCAGATTATTTAGTTTGTTTCTCTTCAGCAGCTGTGACAAGAACAAAATGAGTCCGTTCCAAAGTCTGTTGGATAAACTGCACATATTTTGGTTGTTTCTTTATTTTGTTAATTTTAGCAGCACTAGATCACATGTGTCAAACTCGAGGCCCGTGGACCAAACCCGGCCCACCATAACCATGTCTGTGTCCCTCTGCACCCTGGAGGTCCACAGAGACACAACTTAAGATAACAGCTGTGTCCTTCAATATTACTTCATCATTCAAATCAGTTTTTATGTTTCTAATGCCACTCAAACATGAAATATGTAATTTTTAGAAGGAGTCATCAACTGCAGAGAAACTTATATTTAATAATCATTTTATCACGACTATATGATATAACAGTCTATGTTAGGTGGCTGAATGATCTGATGACTGTTGATTGCAGTAATCCACATTATTAGCAGAAATGGAGGGCCCCCTGGGCCGGCCCCGAGTGGAAGTAAAGTGCACCACCATTGAATCAGAGGTGACGAGCAGCTCCGTCACCTCCACATCTGTGTCCATTAATGCTGCAGATGTGCTTCAATCACAGCAGCTGCCACTGCTCTTGTAGGAGTCCCTCACGGTAAACGAGGGACCACTGTACACGTTTTACTGAAGCATGAGGGCAAAGATGGTAAAGATGCTCAAACAGGAACCATTGAAAGATTTCGTGGTCTCTACATGGAGGTTTCTGACCAGGTAGTGGAAAGAGGGAACGCTCTGTTTAGCACGTTCCACTAAGCTCTCTTATAAAGTGAACTCCCTCTGCTGTGTTCAGATCAGCAGAACTCCACGCCCGTGAACTTACAGGAGGTCTGTCTTCATCCTGGACATGGTCTCACCTGTTTGAGGGCACGTTCGATCTCCACCCCCTGCGCCCATGGAACTGCTGGGTTTGCAAGGCAGTCTCCACTGTTACCTCGACGACTCATGTCTATTCTTTGCTTGTGCAGGAAGCGGAAAGCCTCAGTCATCACGTGCACTGCATCATAGGTAAGAGCTGATGTGTACTGAAGAGAAAAACAAACACAAACAAATTCCCATCTTTTAGCCTCGAGTTAAGATTACAATATGCAGCGGAGTCTAGAGAAGAAGACATGGAGGAAGGATCCCAGGACAGGACCAGCTGAGCACAACACACGCCACACTGCACAGCCAAACACGTGCGCAGTGAGCGCTGCCGTACCTCGTACCCAACGGCTGACATTTTGTTCACAGTAACTGTACCAAGAAGACATGGAATATCATTTCATCTAATTAAATGTGCACATCGTTCTTAAGTGTTCAAAGTCTGTGCACGACCAAGATGAAATTATTTCAGAGATCCAATTATCATCGTAATAATCAGAATATTTGTGTGAACTTTGTATCAAATGTTCAACATTTTAACATCTGATTTATTTCGTGGATCAGCCAATGAACTTAGATATAAAGATAAATACACACAAACATGAACATTTTAGCCTGAAAATAATATTCAGCAGCTGGTTGCTCCACCCACTACACCACCCAATAAAACTGGTGTGAGCATGAAAAATACATTGAAAAAGCTACATTCTACAACAATGCTTATGTTAATACTTTAATCAACAAAATATCTATAACAAACAGCGGGTAAAGATGGATGGATGGCTGGCTGGCTGGCTGGATGGATGGATGGATGGATGGATGGATGGATGGATGGATGGATGGATGGATGGATGGATGGATGGCTGGATGGATGGATGGATGGATGGATGGAAGAAAGAAAGAATAACAGCTGGAAACTAATATTGCTCAGTCTTAAATTGCAACAACAGGAGTGATGAAGAACAATAAAAACAAGTTAAAAAATTATATATTAATAAAAAGTGCACAAACGTGAACAAAATAAAAAGTACAATTATTCATCTGGCTCAGTTTGTGCCGAGTCGTTTCTTCAGCTGTGAACCTGCAAAATAATTCGTCCCAAGTTGTGTAAATACAAAGTTATAAATGTATGTAAGAAGTTATTGTGTGTTCTTATTTCATGGTTTGTCGTGTAAAAACAAAGTTCTGTACGGAGCGGCTTTGACAGTCCTCCGCTGTGCAGCCAGCTGAGAGCAGGGTGCACACCTGCGCGTGCACCTGACGTGCACCTGACGTGCACCTGACGTGCACCTGACGTGCATGAGCACGTGTCATCATTTTAAGTTTGTTCAAATTAGGCCACAGGAAGCATGCAGCTATGTGGGACAGTGGTCCCCCTCCGGTTCTCTGCGCACGGTAAAACGGTTCTACCCCTCCGGTT